TATTTTTATTTACTCTGCTGTATATTTTACTCTTTTCGGCTTTCGATTTTTAAATAACGTAGTATTTTTTTATCGTTATATAACAGTTACAGCTATGTTTTCCGTCCGATTTTTGGTTAAATTTTTGCAGTCTAATATTTTGGCCAATCTCCTCACAGATGAAGAAGTGACTTGAAACAAAGTGGTTCTGCGGGAGAATGCTGGACCGAACATGTATGCAACGACGTAGTCCTAGAGATAATAGCTTTAAAACGGACACTTATACTAAATGTCAGGAAGAGACAGTTGAAATTTCTAAAGCACATTTTCATAGACGTCATTTGTTTACATTTAGATTCGCCATGAGCAGATATTAATGTACGTGAGAGAATCAAGATTGTAGTTTAAAGGACAGTAAAAAAACCTTGTTAAAAACGCTCCTCTGTACAAAAAATCGGTTAAAGGCACGTCAGGCTATATGACGGTTCCGTATATAGGATACAGGTTCGATTCCTGTCGGAGTACGAATATGTTCTATGAAAATTTCTCGGACATTCAGGCCGGTAAATGTTGTTTAATACTGTTTATTATAAACAGAACATTTACTTAAATATTTGTATCTATAAAAAGAATGTATAAACATAAAAATGTCTTAAAATTATTTATATATATATATATATATATATATATATATATATAGAGAGAGAGAGATTTAAAGTATATATAAGAATATATTTTTTATTCTGACGTGGTATATTTTGAGTTAATTATTTACATTGTTAATTCGACAGAATTGTTTCTTCAAGGATATGTTGCATCTATAACATTAGAAATTTCTTATTTTTTTAAAAAAAATCTATTGCGTTGTTAGCAAAAGAGGCAGCCAAGTATGTGAACTACATATTGGGGATGGCAAAATTAAGCAGATAGAGAAGATTAATTATCTAGGTGGCATGGTAACAGATAAGAATAAATGTGAAAGACATTCGAATATGTATAGGAATAGCTGATGAGGCTTTCCGGAAACTCTTGTGTGGCAGTGAGTGCTGGACAACCTCTTCACAGATGGAGAAAAGTCTTGATTCAACAGGGATATGGTTGCACCATTGAGATTACAATGGACAGAACATAGGAAGTCTAATAGGAACTGAAAAGGAACTTATAATATAAGAGAGATAGATGGAAGTTCTGGAGCACAAAACGACGAAAGAAGGCCTAGAGTATTTAACACTCACAGGGCACAGTAAAGACAAAAGAGATAGGTGTAAACGCAGATTAATCTCTTCTGTAAATGGCTGACAGGATAGGATCAAAAAAGGATAGGAAAGATTCAAAAATACAAAAAAGAGAGAATGTTGTGGAGAGCCATTAGCATCAACGCCCTAAAGGAGCCTGACACTAAAAAGAAGAATGTTGTGTTTAATCCGATCCTTTTTCTGTTTTTTTTTGTTTTTTAAATATTTTTATTATTAAGCCCTTTTATTTGAGTGCTTGTCATGATTTTTGTAACACTGAATTACAGGCTCGTAACGAATTCAGAATTCCAGATTCCAAATTTAACGTACTTTCGGTCTGCTGTCGGGCATACGTCGCCAAATTCTAAATGTAGACGTGGGGGGGGAGATATGTATATTTCAATCATATGCCAATAACATCAGTGTCCATTGCTTGATTTGAATGATCCCTTTTCCTGTTGACCACTGACAGTTTAACGCTTCAAACACTATCTTTTGGCATAAGGCCGAAGTCAAAACGAACTGAACTGACCTGCGATTAAGCCAGCCAAAGTTTCGTTTCTAGTTGTGCCAATTTCTTTGGCAAACCTCACAAGACTCTTCCCGATCAATGTGACGGATTTGAACTTAATTCTGCTATTATTGGTAAATTTCATTTGGTCGAGCGATTTTTACATATCCACATTTCGCGCTGGGAATTAGAGGATTTCGTCACGGAAATTACCTGTTAGTTTTAAAATTCTAAGAATGATTTATTGAATATGTATTTTGACAGCAAGAAACAAAGGTTGGAATGGATTATGCCGGAGTTGGGAAATTTCAAAGAAATTGAATTGAATATTTTGAAAAGGAATAAATTTCAATGCGTGGTAGAATTATACATATATGCTTTTATCTTCAATAAATGCACGAAAAGTTCAAGTGATTTATAAGGTTGACCGACTCAAGAGGTTCGCGTCGAAACGCTTACCAAAACAGCTGAAATCTTTAACACCTAAAAATAAGTTCAATATATTTATCAAACATATGACCCTGATGAGCGTGCAGATCATTTGCGAAGTATCTGTCAATATTTCTGAGATGAGGTATTATGTACACTATTTACATTTTTCGGACTATTGTCCTCATCTTTGAAAAATATTTATTACAATGTTTCGGCCTTTCAGTACCTGTCTATATTTCTGAGATGAGGTATTATGTACACTATTTATATTATTCGGACTATTGTCCTCATCTTTGTCACCATATTTATTACAACGTTTCGGCCGTTGCAACCTCCGGCCTTCTTCAGGTGGTTGGAATGTCGAGCTGAACCCTTTATTTTGCTAACTAGACTGTTCTAGTTCCACGTGGCACATGGAACGGTGGATAAAGGCGTTATGCCCAGTGACAGGACCCAAAAAGTGTGAGTTCAATACCCGGTTATGGCAGTGGAGAACTTTCAGAAGGAAATTAACAGGAGATAACTGATAACTGACATCCATTAAACATGGCACGTGGAACTGGAGCAGTCTACTCCACATCGTTGTTGAACGCAGCACCCCTCAAATTGTTAGAAAGTGTCTGAAAAAGGTGATTGTCTCAAGGAGCTAAATCAGGAGAATATGGTGAATTTCCCAACCAAGCTCTGTCTTTGTATCCAGGAGTAACCCGTTGTCAAGCGAGTAAACTGGGAGGAATGTAGGAGCTCTGGAGTTTGTTTCACTTGGTCAATGCGTGTGGCACCTGTGTTTCTGGAACTTAACCATTGACATGAGCGAATTACCTTGCGGCCAGGCCCCGTGCAATTTGTTCTCATGAAACTGAACAGGTCGTCCAGAACGCGGAAAGTTTGAGTTTGAACTTCCCCTTCTTGAAACGAGAAAAAATATTTCTATGGCATTCCATCTGTAAGGAAGTCATCTCCGTACACAGCATTAATGTTTCAAGCAGCTTTAACGTCGTTGTCACCTTGACTAAAAGCAAAGAGATGTCGAACATGCTCATTCTTGTCTGCTTGACATTCCATGTCAAAGGGGTATCTAATCTGAAATAAAATTTCAATAACATTAAAAACAGTTTTAGAGTCAATAAGAAACAAAAATGCTACGAAAGATTAAGCTTAGGCTTTTAAGCTTACTTCACTTGAATTGCAGTAAAGTTTTGAATATGTAAGAATTAAATATTACGGGGGGTGGGGTACCAGTATTTTAGAATTTTTAGCAAGGCCCAAAATTAGTTGGAAATCACTGGTCTACAGTACGAGGCCCCAAATGGACGCACCCATAGAAAGACGAATTTTGTATTTTTAACAAGAAAGTGAGTAATAGAATTCGTTTATTAATACAGGTGTATATTATACAAGTCAAAAAATGATTTATTATTTTGTTGGGTAACCATTTGCTTTAATAACGGCCTTAATTCTTCGTGGCATGCTATAGACTAAATTCTTTAGTAAGTCAACGTTCTTCGCAAGATTTTTCCAACATTTCTTTAATTCGAGAAAAAGCTAATCTTCTGTGTTAACTTTCCTATTACGAGCACGCTTGTCCATTATCACCCAAAGGTTTTCAATCTGGTTATGGTCAGGACTCTGACTAGGCCACTGGAAGAATTGCAAATTACCCTCGTCACGCTTCTTCTGTAGATAATGTTTATTTTTTAAGGCAGTTTGCTTAGGATCGTTGTCGTTACTAAAACATTTTTGACTTGTATAATGTACAGATATACACCTGTATTAATAAACGACTTTCTATGGGCGCGTACATTATAATCGATTTTATCACGATTCTTCTGTTAAGCTTGCAGAGTAATTATACATTCTTATTGCTCAAAGAAGAGTCAACTAGCGTTGGAGAATTCCAGTAAGATATTTTCAGTCATTTCTAAGATACATCAGAGCTTAATCTAAGATACTGCAGAGTTTAATCTAACAACTTGACAATTTTGCTGTTACACAATTTGGACAATTACAGATATATTATATATATATATATATAATATATATATATATATATATATATATATATATATATATATATATATATGCTTAAATACTAATATTCCATATATAATTTATTCCATTGGAATCATATATAACGATCAATTCATCAGACCTACAAATTCAAAAGACCACTAATATTTTATATATATACAATATATATATATATATATATATATATATATATATATATATAAATTAATTGATTTAAAATATGTTTTTTTCGCTACACAGTTCCAACCATGTTTTAAAAATAGAAGCTAAAACCCCTGGAATTTAATTTTGCAATTAAATTAAAAGCATTAGTTCCATTTCATCTTCAAGCGAATATCTATAAGAACACCGGATTTTATATCTTACTTTTCTTAAATTTTTTTATTTATTTATATTTATATATATATATATATATATATATATATATATATATATATATATATATATATATATATATATATAATACCTATAGATCCATTATCACCGAAAGGTTTTCAATTGGGTTAAGGTCAGGAGTTGCAATTTACCCTCGTCACGCTTCCTCTGTAGATAACGTTTATTCTTGAAGACAGGATCGTTATACTTACTAAATCATTTTTTGACTTGTATAATGTACAGATGTGCACCTGTATTAATAAACGAATTCTATTACTCACTTGTCTTGGTAAAAATACAAAAATCGACATTTTTTTGCCTCATAATGCAACTATTGTCCGAATATAAACAATGTAAACATTAATAACTCCTCATCCCAGAAATTCAAACAAAAAAACAAATTCAAACAGAAAAACATTTACTTTTTGACCATTCGGATGTTACTGTTATTTCTATCTGTTAAGGCTTCTTTTATTAAATTCCCTGATAAAAATACTAAGTTTTCAAGTCACGTACGACGGCTATGTTACGAGTACTTGAATACTTGCTTCCCCAAACTTGTAAAGCTGTGATTTTCTCATTGAATAGATGAATAGTTAAAGGTCTGTGGATGCAATATATCCATTGGGATGCCTACTGAACCTTTTTACTTGAAGTATTCTGGCTTGAATAATAAGCGGGGTGATAAAGATCCTTCATGTCATCACTTCAGACAACGGTTAGAAATATTAGATTGCTGGAGGAGTAAGACTTTGAGAAAGAGAATCATGGCCAATAGAACGATAGAAAAGAAATCGGAAAGGAGAAAAAAAAAGAAGAAAAATGAAAAGTAGATATATAAATAAGATACTAAATCTTAGAAAAGGCGGGAAAAAAGATATGGGTTGATAAAAGAGTGATTAAGAGAAACAAGAAGGAAAAAAAACAAAATTGGAGAAAGAAAATGACTCATTGAAGGAAAACGAAAGAAGAAAAAGACGGTCGGCAAAGGGGGGCGTGGAAGAGATTGAAGAAAACAGTAATCAAATAGAAAGAAATGACAGCAAATAATTGAGAATTCGAGAGTAAGAAAACATGTTGAAATAAAAAAATAGCAAATTGAAAATTAAGAAAACATATAGGACGAATTTTTACATATTTAAAGACATTTTAATATCATATATAATATATATAATATATATATATATATATATATATATATATATATATATATATGTATCCAAGAAGGAAGAGTTGAGAGAGAAATGAAGAAATGTTATGTCTTTAAATGATGCGAAAATAATCGAGGAAAAAAAAAAACGTAAAAAGGAAGCAAACAGAAGACGATGTCGAAGAAAATGGTTGACGAACGCACCAAGTGGCTTTGATTAAGGTGGCGAATCTTGTTTCAACAGTAACTAATCTTTGGAAATAATCCGCTCGATTCAATTTCAAAACTGATCCCTGCTGGCACAAACTGAATCAGCCAACAAACCCCCTACCCTGCCAATACAGAGTAATCCCTGTCTCCACCCAGACACGCGTCTTTCTTGCCATTCCCTCCTAGTCCACTTTGCACATGCGCACGATTGTGTGCCTCTACTCCCTTTTTTCCGCGCCACTAACTTCCTTCAGCGTCCATCTTTACCGCTCAGTACGCCCTCTGGCGGTGGCTTTTTCCACACAACAAACAAGCGAGTGGCGGAAAGCTGTGGCGTCGGTGTAAAAGCAATCACATACCAAGGACAAACACGTTCAAGATCAATCAGCCTGTTGCTGAGAGAATCAACCAGTGGCTTTTCCTCTATTTCATTTATCATTTCTCTTTCTTTCTTTCTTTCTTTCTTTCTTTCTTTCTTTCTTACCTGTTTTTTCTCATTTACATTACGACGTTTCTTTTATTGGCACATTTCTTTTTTAAAATCTTTTCCCTGCTGTATTAGTATCTTTCTTTCCTTTTTTTCTTTCTTTTCTTTCTTTCTTTCTTTCATTCATACCTGTTTTTTGTTCTTACATTTCATTATTTCTTACATTTTTTCTTTCTTTTTCCTTTCTTTCTTTCTTACTTTTTCCTGTCTTTCTTCCTTTCTTATGTAGTTTTTTTTTTATTTTCTTCCTTTTCTTCTTTTTTTCTTTCTAGTCAATTTTCATTTTAGTTTCTTTTCATTTCTGCTTTACTATTGTATTTTATTTATATTTTATTTATTTCGCTCAATTTTTTCCTTTCTTTCATCTTTATCTATTTTTAGCTTCTTTCTCTCTTACTTATCTATTTTTCTTGTCTTTCTTTCTTTTTCTAATCTATTCTTAGTTTCTTTCTTTCGTTTTCTAATCTATTTTTCTTACTCTCTTATTAATATTCGTTTTAGTTTCTTTATTAACGTAAAGTTTTCTTTCTTCTATATCTTTTTACTTTTTCTTTCTTTTTTGTTTATTTTTGTTTGTTTTGTTTCTTTCTTTTTAGTTTCTTCCTTTCTTTCTTTTTTTCTTTCGAATGATTTTTCATTTTAGTTTCTTTCATTTCTGCTTTACTTTTGTATTTTATTTATATTTTCTTAATTCCCTTCATATCTGCCTTCTTTCTTCCTTTTTTCCTTCCTTCCTTTCTTTCTTCTTTCCTTTCTTTATTTATTTTATTTATTTTTAATTTCTTTCACTCTGTCTTATCTGTTTTCTTTTTAATTTCTTTAACTTAAACTTCTTTTTTCTTTCGTTTTTTCTTTATTTTTCTGTCTTCCTTTGTTTTACCACTACTACTTCCTTTCATTCTCACTTCTTTTCTTTCTCTCCACTTTCATTTATTGATATTCACTTCCATTTTTAAAAAATATTTTCGTTTATTTTCCTCTTTTTTCTGATCGTCTCTTCTCTCATCTTTCATTCTCTTTGAGTTTTCTTTCCTTTACTAATAAATTTTATTTATTTATTTTTAAAAATCTTTTTTACTTAGTGTCTCCTTATTTCTCTCCTCCGCCTCCTTCTTCTCTTTTTTCTTTCCTTTATTTCTCAAATCTTTACTCTTCCCCTTGTCAAATCATTAACCTTTTCGTCAGCCATATCCGTAGATTCTTGATTACTTAGCAAAATGCCATTTCCCTTCAGGACGAAGCTGATAATGACACTCTACAGATTCTTTTCCTTTATTACATGTAAATTGCTATGGCTTCTTTGGAATGATGGGGAAGTGGTTATACATTGCCTTCTCTACTTTTGAAATTCAGAGCTGTCTTTGAGTGGCTGAAACTTACAGACCTTGGAAAAGATTTGGATTCTTGCCTTTCCCAAATATTTTTGTGCGAAGGCTAGTTCAACTTTCTGCCCCAATACCGGTTACCCTACCCACCCATCTATTTTGATATACCCCCTTTTATTGTTTTACAGGATTTAATTTATCTCGAATTCGTTGGTGGGCGTTTATGTGTGGCCTAGTCATTATTAAGCTGTTCTTACATATTATACTTGAGTTCGGTCATCATTAGGCATACTATGCTTGTAGCCTTGGGACAAGACTACGTTATCCTGTCATGTATTGCTTTAAACTGAAGATCAAATACAAAATTTGATAGAGTTGTTATTAAAATGAAAATATATTTATATAAATTAATAGGCTGGTCTAGTTTGCTATACCAATGCAGTGTAAAGTGATCCCTCTACAGAAGTCAAAAGAAATACGTTCATATGACATGATTTTCTAAAAGGCAAAAATAAATATTCAAGTCCGTAATCTGAAGGGCTTAATCGATAGTAATATATATCAAAAGAAGTGCTAGATAATATGATATCTACCGAGGCAATTGCGACCCACCGTAAATGACAATGCACTCATTATTGGTGGATAATGCTAAGGAAAATCTATGACTTGTTTACTGTTTGTTGCTACTATAATATGATATCTACCGAGGCATTTGCGACCTACCGGAAATGGCGATGCGTTCGTTATTGCTGGAAAATGCTAAGGAAAAACTATGACCTGTTTACTGCGTTTTTTTTTAAATAACATCAAATCAATTTTTTTCTTTCTATGTGCCATGTCCTTTCAGGACGTGGGCGATCATGGTTCTCCACCTCTTTTTTTCCCTTGCAGCTCTCAACAAGCCCCTACCCTCTGCCACCTCCCCCAGACCACGTTCTGTCATCCACTTGCTTAACGCAGCTCGGTATGTTGTGCGTTGTTTTCCCTCGTCTCTCTTTTCCTCTATTCGACCCGTAGGTATCAGATTCTCCAGGCCCTTCTTCCTCATCATGTGTCCCAGAAACTTCAGCTGCCTCTTTCTGATATTAAGTATAAGCCTTCCCTTTGTTTTCATCTTCTCTAAGGTCTCATCGTTGCTCACACGCTCAGTCCATGATATCCTTAGCATCCTTCTGTAGAACGACATCTTCGTCGCCTCGAGTCTCTTCTTCATCTTTGAGGGAATCGTCCAATAGACCTCTTTTAGTTATATTCGTAATCCATACAAATATAAAAAAATCAAAAAAAAAAAAAAAATTGGTCGCAGTCACTTTTGAAACAATTCCACCAAAAATGCTTTTTCAGAGTTCTTTGATCGTTACCGTAAGTGTTAGCAGAGGAATATCCGAGGGTAACGTGGCTGAATGTTGCGAAAGGCAAATAAGGATCCACTCAGAAACGTTTCATTATAAATATAATAGGCATATTACAGATGCCAGCAAGAAAAAAAATAAGATGCCAGCTATGAATTGGATATGCCACAGATAGACATTTGGTGAGAGCTATAGCTGTCTACGTGCTGAATGTACACGCAAAATTGAAGACGAAGATCACAGAGACACTAGGACCCCATAACAATTCATTTTAGAGATTAGTTTACAGATAAACTGCTGAAAAAATATGTCAAGTGTTTTTATCGAGATATTTGGATAGATTTAACAGCCTCGGTATAATGTTACATTAAATATTGAATAATTCATGATGCTCTTCTCCTGACATGTAACATTATTATTGACCGTAAGTTCCCGATTGAACTTACAGCTTGACGCAAGGTAATTCTTAAAAATGTGGAGCCCAAAGCATTACTTACATTTGCTGCTAGATACGATGAAGATTCAAGTATAAGATCTGTTTTCAGTGCTTACGAATATAGAAAAGCAGCTCGCTCCAAGAAAAGGTTTTGCTAGCTTCAAATATTCTGAAGATCGTTCTATGGTCTTTGTTTGCCGCTGACCCAGAAAAGCCAAGGCTGGATTAAGTCAATTCGGCGCCTGTAGCATATGTTATAAAGGGGCACTAAATTAATAAAATACACATAATAAATTATTTACTAGTATAGACGTAGAGACACTACATTATTCGGACTATTGTCCTCATCTTTGTCGCTATATTTATTACAGCGTTTCGGCCATTGTACGCTCCGGCCTTCTTCAGGTGGTTGGCTCACTGGGGTAGACTGTTCTAGTTCCACGTGCTATGTTTTTAATGGATGACAGTTGTCAGTCATCCCTGTTAATTGTCCTCTCCAAGTTCTCCACTACCTTAATCGGGTATTGAACTCACACTCTTTGGGTCTTGTCACTGGATCTAACTAACGCTTTTATCCACTGTGCCAGATAGACGTAGAGTTTATAAAACAGGTAAATATTCAGCTTCAATCAACTTAATAAAAGAGGAAATATTTAACTTCAATAAACTTAATAATAGAAAAACGTGAGTCAAATGTTTCTAACGAAAACGTGTGGATTGAACGGCCTCAATACCCTTTTCTATAAATGATGAATAGTTAAAGATATTCTCTTGATATGGAATTATTATCATTGCAAAATCGTAGAATAGCCTTAGCCTTCGCTACATTTGTTAAAAGGTTAATCCACTACTGGATATTTCCGTTTTTCGCCTACCCTGACTAATAATACTTAAACAATATGTTATATAGGCGGAGTAGGTAATGCCATTGCTACGCAGTAACTACTTATTTAAGACGTTGCATATTGAGAAAGACAATATTCGAAAAAAGAAAAATTGAACCTAGTCTGAACAGTAACATCGGTAAAAACAAACATTAGCAGATATTTTTAGAGATAGAATGCAAACATTATGAAAACGGATTTGTTGTCAACATTAAATGGAGGAATAATGTATATCGATGTTGGAAAGTATCAGACGGTGTGTTTGCAATACAGCTGACGGTTAAAGAAAAAAAAATCATACGAATGTCAACAAACAGAATAGATCCATAATGGTCAGCTAACAATATCATGGAGTTTTACTTTGAAAAGACTGACTTTAAAAAGTTCAGAGGTCATCCAAGAACCACCATAGTCACAACGCTGAACCGAGACATTCAAAGAACAAGGCAGAAAGATTTCACTTTTCCTTTGGAGAAGTTTACAATCAAAGAAGATCTGCAATGAATCCCCAAACTCGCAGAAGACAGAGAAGACTGGTAAAATATTGTCGAATCGGAATACAATTTCACTGAAGATGAGGAGGCGATCATGGCTCTTCACTCCTCCATCCTATCTCTTGTAGCTCTCAATAAGTTTCGCCCTTTTATTACTTCGCCTGTCATCCACTTGCTTAAGCCCGCCAGGTTTGTCACACGTTGCTTTCTTGTCCCTCTTGTCCCTCTATTCGACCTGTGAGTATTAGTGTCTCCAAGTCCTCCTTTTCTCATTACGTGTCCCAGAAATTTCATCTGCCTCTTCCTGGTGTTAAGTATAAGCTTCCTCATTGTTTGTATGCTCTCCAAAACCTCATTGTTGCTCGGTCCATGATATCCTTAGCATCCTTCTGTAGAACCATACCTCCGTTACCTCGAATCTCTTCTTCGTCATTAAGGAGATCGTCCAACATTCGCTGCCGTAAAGGAAGACAGATATTACGCAGCAATTCAGTACACTTTTCTGTTATCACGAACTCCTCCCGTCTCATTACTCTCAATATGTTTCCTGAGTTTCCAAACCCTCTTTCCTCATTATGTGCCCCAGAAACATCAGCTGCCTCTTCTTTATGTTAAATATAAGCTTCCTCATTGTTTGCATGCTCTCCAAAACTTCATCGTAACTAACAGACTCGATCTATACATAACCATTTTCTTTTAATTTTTGAAAATATTTTTATAGTCATGTATGTCGTCTAGGGAAAGAGGCATTTCTTTTAGGAAAGGAGATATTTGAAAAGATGAAATGTATAGAAGCACGGTGGAGTAATGGATAGTAGCTGGCTTGATTGATGAAAGCAGGCGAGTTCGAATACCAGTCTTCTTGAAGACTATTCAGACAAGCAGATTGAAAACTGCTGAGTACACTAAAACACGTTGATATATATATATATATATATATATATATATATATATATATATATATATATATCATAATTAAGTAATTCATCGAGTCTACGAGAAACCTCAACAGAAAGAAAGCACTGGACGGTCGTTTCGTCCTATATTTGGGACTCATTAGCAGTGCGCATCCACTACCGAGAATTGAAACCCGGACAGTTACGTCATCAGGCAAACGCCATACTAACTGTACCAACGGGATTCGATGACGAATTAGACTCGATATAGCGCCGCTCGAACACATATTCCGTGATGAAACTCATCTTAGTTTCCCTTACCCATAGGACTGTGCCCCCACAAGCCACGACTCCCACCCCCAAGCCGCTCAGTCCAGAGCATTAGAAGCCGGTTTAAGCAAGGATATACATGTGATAGAAATTATTAGGAGGATTTGAAATAATCATAATTATGTAATCCATCGAGTGTCGGAGAAACCTCAACAGAATGGAGTTTAGAGTTTAATTCGTTACCTCTTAATTCGTTTCCTATTCGTCACCGAGGCCTGTTGGTACAGTTGGTATGGCGTTTGCCTCCTGTCGTAACTGTTCCGGTTTCAATTCTCGGTAGTTGATACGCACTGCTGATGAGACCCGAATATAGGACGAAATGGCCGTCCAGTGCCTTCTGCATTCTGTTGAGGTTTCTATCAGACTCGATGAATGAATTAATTATGATTGTCTCAAATCCTCATAATTATTTCTATCATATATATATATATATATATATATATATATATATATATATATATATATATATGTGTGTGTGTGTGTTTTGTCCGGAATGCGAGAAACAGTTTGGTTTTTATGTTTGGAATGATATAAGAATGGTCCATAAAAATATAGAAGCATGTATACCTTATAGAATATGCAATAGTCTTGGATATGGTACGATACAAAGAACTCCTTCCATTGCCAGAACATGTTCACTTATATGGCCAAAATATTACAAAAACAAATGTCCCCACATGGACTAGGAGCAAACAGGCTGCATAAGTATAGAGAATGAATTCAGTCAATACATAACCTTATAGAGGAGCGTATGACAATGAAGGGTCTTCTCACCAGATTCATTCAATATTTACAACAAGGCTACCCGAAAGGAACTTGAAGTTCGGCCAGGATTTATTATTGACACAATTTTAACGTCATAAATTATTTAGATGTCACAGAAAGGAGGCTTTTGGGACTCTTGGAGAGGAATTAAAGGAAAAGAAAAATCAATTGAAACAAAACAGAATTTATGGTTGTCAGCAAGGGGAATAACGCACGCTGCAACGTATGAATCAGAGATACCAATGCCAGATTTTTATGTGTCATGGCCCTTCAGGACGTAGGCGATCATGGCTCTCTCCACTTCCCTTATCACATGTATCTCTCAATAAGTTTTGTCCCTTTGCTACTTCTGCCATCTCCCCCAGACCACGTTCTGTTATCCCCTTGCTTGAGCCCGCCAGATATGTCATGCATTGTTTTCACTTGTCTCTCTTTCCCTCTATTCGACCTGTGAGTATCAGATTCTCCAAGCCCTCCTTTCTCATTACATGTCCCAGAAATTTCATCTACCTCTTCCTGACGTTAAGTATAAGCTTCCTCCTTGTTTGCGTCGTCTCCAAAGCCACATCGTTGCTCACACGCTCGGTCCATGATTATACAAAAATTTTAATATCTCGGAAATATTTTGGCAGAGGGTGAAAATATGACACTGAATTTAAAAATTCAGTTCAAATTTATGAAATAAAAATAATTTTCATAATCACGATCCAGAATGCTTAATTTCTTTCTACAAAAAAAGCGCCTTTTCCTGATCAGTAGCCTTTTTTTATTGCTGTCTCTTCTCTTTCTGTGAATTTCATGAAATCGTTTTTTTCTTGTTTTCCTAATATCTATCTATCTATCTATCTATCTATCTATCTATCTATCTATCGCAATATCTTTTATCTATCCCCTGATCGCAATCTCTATCTATCTCTCTATCTATCTGGCCAATTTTCTTTATAGATAAAAGTGGAAAATACTTATTAAAGTTAGATTTGTACAACTTACACGTAAATGATAGACATTAAGTGTAAAAAGATTGTATCGGGTCAATCTCTAAAGTTGAATCCGTTGTCTCCCTTGAAAATCTATATTCGATATCTCGACCGTTACAAAGGCATGCTTATCTATCTATCTATCTATCTATCTATCTATCTATCTATCTATCTATCTATCTATCTATCTATCTCATTCTGTTCAGCATCTATCTATCTATCTATCTATCTATCGATAGATAGATAGATAGATAGATAGATATGAAGAGAACGCAATAGATAGATAGATAGATAGATAGATAGATAGATAGATATATATAGCTCTTATTTCCTGTCTGTTTTTTCTCCTTTACTCTGACTTAACCGTTTTTCCGCCATTTTTAGGCAAATTTCATTCATCCTCCTTTTTTTTACTCTGGTACATTTCTGACAATCCATTCCAAAGTCCTTACATCATCCGTATCAATTCCATTCATCTGAAGTAAGGCTACAAAACATCACAACGGGTATGACCTGTAAAATGCAAAATCGAACGCTGACAGCTCACCCAAGGAACGCACCGGACAGACAAAATCTCAAGTAGACGTCTTATCCAAAATCTCTTTCTCATAACCACACCCCACCGACATCTCTTGTCGCTCGTTTTGTTCGTATCTTCTACTATGCTCTAAGCAACACTTTCATTTCTTTCTCTTCTGCTGTTTCCATTACTGTTGCTTACCAAACAAGGTGATGAGAAACAGCGCCTAACGAGCGAACGTCAGCGCTTCTCTTGCTCACAGATGAAGCCATCCATCCATTTATGCATTCATTCATTTGTTCGTCGCTTCATTCATCGAGTCAGTCAGTCAGTCAACCAGCCAACCAACGAAGAAGCCTGTAGATCGGCCATATTGCTGTCGGCTGCCATTTTATATCAAGTGATGTGTAGATGCTTCCCAATGCCGGCTTTAGTTGCAGCGGAGAAATGTAAATTCGATCTTCGATCGAAGAAGCTCAAAGCCATTTCAGTGAATAGCAAGTGATTTCCTTTTCAGCGTCTCGTTAAATATTTTCAGTTATTTTCTTTTTCTTTCCCCGTTTTTTTTTTATTTATTTTTCATTTTTTTAGAATGCTTCCCTATCTTGTTCGTAGCTATCAGTAAGTCCACAACCTAGATAAAAACATGCATATTACACTTGATATTTATTTGTCAAGGCACTTAATTCAGCAGATACGGTGGAAATCTTAGATAGGAATTCTTTTAATAACTGTTTGCCAGGATACGGACTTATTGATCCATCTCAAACATTCAATATTTTTTCTTATTCTTGCATATTTTCTTCTTTCTCTATTTTATGTTCTTTCTCTTTTTCTTTCTTTCTTTTTCTCCCTTCCTCTTTTTCTTTTTTTTTTTTCTTTCTTTTCCCTTTTCTTGCTCTCTCTTTTTCTTTCTTTCTTCTTTTTCTTTCTTTCTTCTTTTTCTTTCTTTTTCTTGTTCTTTCTTACTCTTATACTTTCTTTCTTTTCTTTCTTTCTATTGTTCCTTCTTTCTCTTTTCTTTCTCTTTTTCTTTAGTTTTTCTATCTTTCTTTTTTTCTTCCATTTTTTTCCTTATTCGCATCTTTGAATGATTCTTTTTTCTTTATTCATTCAATTTTCTTTTTCTTCTTTTTAAACTTTTCGATTCTTTCTTTCTTTCTTTCTTTCTTTCTTTCTTTCTTTCTTTCTTTCTTTCTTGAAGTATTCTTTTCTTTCTTTCTCTATGTTTCCCCGTTTTTTCATTCTGTCTTTTTTCAAATTCCTTTAAATTTTCGTTATTGCTGTTTGTAATGTCTTTCTTTCCTTGCAAACACGGATACAATAATCTTCATATTTTAAAATTAGTCACACAAAATAACATCAACTCTCGTCACTTCACTTGGCACCATCCCGGAAAAGAAAAATTTCCTGCGGGTCACAAATCAAAGAATAATTTTTTTCTCTTTTAATTGAAAGAATGAAAAAGTAGCGTTTTTTTTCCCAAGATGCAAAAGGAAAGGATTAAAAATGTACAACTTTAACCTTCACGTTTTCTTCCTTTCTTTTCTTGGATTAATTCCGCATTAAAATCTCTGTCCATTGCACTTTGAAGCGCTGTTTCTGAGAGCAAATGTTAAAACCTAACATCTGAAGTAATTAACTTACTTAGGTTGAGCGGAACTTAAAATAGATTCAAGCTTATATTTCTAATGCAAAAATGCGTGAAAGAAATAAAAAATATAAAATAAAAATTCAGCTGAGCGACATACAATTAAATGATGGCAAAGAGATTACATACAATGACTTGCAAAATAAAAATAAAAATAAAATAAAATGGGTGAACTCTTTTAACAAGATGGCCGACAAATTTCGACAGCCTCTTTCTGATTCGAAGTTTAGAATGGCTTGTAAATTTTAACGCCTTCAAAACAAAACTGCTTTCATTTAATCACCCTTTTCAGTCTGCTATCAGGGTCTTCTTCGCCTCATGTTTTTCACTGACTGGAGGTAGAGCTAAATACATTGAATCAATCGCTGCATCTACTGCAAGGAAAGTTGGGACACTGTGTTGTGCCAGAAGAAATTCTAGTCAGAATCCATCTTGCACATTTATAAATCTACCATTCGTATGTTACCATATTTGGTCTGGTGCTTCTGCCGTACATTTCGACATTCATGTCAAATTCCAAAGAAAGGTCTGTAATGTAAGCGATCCTGACCAATCATCTCAACTTCAGTCACTTTCTCACCGACGTGGCGTGGCTTCCTTCTGTCTTTTCTACAAATGCTTTCATGGAAACTGTTCTGACGAGGTTTTATTCGCTGGTGGTCCGACTGCATGAATTTAACCTTGATACTAGATTGGCATTTAGGTCCCACACTTTTACTGTTGAAATAGTTAAATGCAACCGCCACTTATACTCCGAAAGTTTCTTTTCTCGCACTTCCAACCTGTGGAATTCCCGTTCCATTTACTTTCTTCCCTGAAAACTACAATCTTTAAAAAATTAAATGCAACATCAATCGACATCTTTTATCTTCTTTTGTCCATTCCTCAATCCTCCCTATTCACAATATTCTCTTTCACTTTCATTCCCTGTAACACCTTGTAGACTAGTGGCATTTTCACCTTGCTTGGGGTGAAATGATTTTTAAAAAAATGACCCTTTTATTTCCATTTATTTTTCTAAAAGGTTGTTGTTATTTATATATTCCGTGCTTGCTTTTCTCTGCATTCTCTTGTAGAGCCACATTTCAAGTCATCTTCACTGCCATGTCTGTTTAACGGCATATCAACACCTTATGGGTCATTAAATGCCAAAATTTAATTTTCCTGGGAGCTTTGAAGTAATAAAAATTATATATTATTCTGCTTTCACAATTGAATACATGGTAGATGATACTCAGCTTTTCTGCATATACATGTTTGTGTGGACATGATTAAAAGAGACGGTGATATGTGTGTTTTGTGCTTTGGTGAAGTTATATTTTGGAATACTGATTGATTTAGGAAATTGTAGGATATTATATGGATTAATGTCCCGTAAGAGTTTTCATATTGTTTTCTTGGAAGGATTTTAAACGGATTTAGATGAAGTTGCTACAATTTGTTAGTATGGTGATATTCTAAGCGTAGCTAGGTGTGGCTCAAGGCTGGAATTATGGAGCAACCTGTGAGAATCGAACTCACTATTCAGTTGTAAATTGATCTACCAAGGCAAATGCCCCAATTTGTTAGTATGTGCGTATTAATAGTAATTACATGCATATATATATATATATATATATATATATATATATATATATATATATTATTGGCATTTTTACTATAAACATGTATTTTTTTTACTTTCATAGTGTTTTTTTTTATGTCGGGGGTCACTATGTGCCCAGAGCTGGGACAATAACAACGTCTTGATGAACATTGGAACAACACCACTTAAGCAATGGTTCCAAACTTTACAAATCTCCCGATCAGAGGCCTGGCTGCCGTATGTAGTTTATCGTCATACGCACACTGCGATGTAATTGGACCAATATTATATAACAGTTGAGCAATATATCCCTTGAGTGCCAAATTCTCTTTCTTCATTATGTGATCTAGAAATTTCACTTGTCTTTTCGACATATAAGTGTCCCTAAAACTTCCTCGTTACTTACATGTTCGGTCCATGCTATCCTCAGCATCTTTCTGTAGAACTACATTTCTGTTGCTCCAAATCTCTTCTTCATCCGTTGGAAGATTCTCCTGCATTTATCGGCGTGATATTACTTATGTATGGATATTACATATCCAGTACTTTTTTCTTTGTTTCTAACCTTTTTTTTCCTGTTTCTTAATACTTTGCTGGGCTTTTGGGTGGCATCTTTCGGATTTCAAACCATAAAAGGAAAAAACGTAGACGAAGGCGTCAAAACCAATATTGTTCAACGGAGATTACAAATAGTTGTATCTGCGATTACAAAGGTTCTCTACTACAACGAGCATTACGAAAGTGGACAACGAGTATTTTTGACCGAACAAAAACGGACAACTAATATAAAGTTGGCCATCAATTATTCGGTGGTTACTATTCGAGCGGGTATTATCCATCAATATTAGTGCAAGTTTATTCGAAGGCGTACAAAACCAGTATTGTTCAAATGCATTACTATAGTTGTTGATTACAAGGTCTCCAAACTTCACTAGTATTTTCAAAAGTACAAAGGTGTCAATTTCAGTCAAAGGATTACTGATAGAGTATTGAAAGGTACAATTATTCGTTGACATAAAAAAGTCAAAACGAATGTTCGTTTCATATAAGGTTAAGAATTAGAACTTTTTTTTTTTGTATAGAAGCGTATTAATTACATTTTCATAAGAAATTATAATCTATAAAGAAATTAGGTAGATGTTTTATTTTAAAACGTTTGTTGTTTTAATTATAATCGTTTAAATTTAAAAATCAGTCCATATTCAATGAGAT